AGGCCCCAAGGCTACCCTGCCCAGCTCTTCTTTGTCCTGGTGGGGGCCTTCGGTGGGTGGGGGGGGCAGAGGGCTGGGTCCCCTTTCTCCTGCCTTTAGTAGAAGCACGCTGTTTCACCCCTGAGCTGCTGGGGCCGACCTCCCTTTGGCCTCCTGCCCCTTTTCTCTCTTCCCCTCCACACTTTCCAAAAGTTTTCTGTGCATGAGGTCTAGCGGCTTGTCCTGTTTCAAAAGCAGCTTCTCCTTCTCTGGCAGAGGAGAGCAAGTAGGGGAAGGACAGGCATGGGGCAGGGTGGTGAGGGGCGCTGTGTGCCTCTCCTGGGGGGGGAGGTTCAGGGGTGGATCCCCCTGGCTTGCCCCCCACCCCCCAAGGCCAGCCTCCTGTGCCCCAGCCCCCAGGCAGGGGCTCTCCCTTTCTGAGCCCATCATGTGCACGCGTGCATGTGCTCGCCCGCTGCCGGTGCTGCTGCTGCTGCTGGCCTGCCTGGGGCTGACTAAGACCGGGAAGGAAGTGGCCGGGCCGAGAGCCGCTCGTTGCCTTATAAGGCTCGGCCGGGGCCTGTTTTGCAAAAGCGACTTCCTTGCGAGGGCGCCCGCCCGCCGCCGTGCGCCTCGTCGGCCCCTCTCTGACCGCTTCCCTTCCCAGCCGCGCTGCTGCTGCCTCTCTGCACAGGAGCCCCCCCCGTCCCGTCCCGTCCCGTCTGGGGGCTTCCTGTTTTTGCAGAGACTGGGGAGAGGCCGCGCTGTCGAGGAGGCGGAAGCCGCGACGAGCGAGCGAGGGCACCATCGTACAGCTCCCCACCGCACACGTACGTCTGTGTGCCTTTGTATGTACGCGTACGTACACAGGGACACACACACACACACTTTCTCACACTCTGCCCCAGGATGTGCGCAAAGGTGTGAAGGAGCCTTGGCAAGAAGCCTGGGCCCCACCCAGAATCAGCCACATCTGAGGCCTCTGCAGCCGCGCACACGCGCGCACACGCTTGGCCCTCTCGGATGAGGCTGAGGGGGGAGGGAGGGAGGGGACCACCATCCCCCCCCCCACTGGGAAACCCTCTGAGGCCCCTCAGGTTCCCCACTTCCAGCCAAGAGTGGAGACATTTTTGCAAAGAACTTTGGCGGGCTCTGTGCACTTCCTCCGGGAGGAGCGCGCCCACGCTCCGACCACGGGCGCATGCACAAGCAGGGCCAGCGATGGTTTCGGGTGGGTGCCTCCTCCTGGGTCTGGGTCATCCCATCTGGGGGGGCCGCCCCCCCCTTTGCTCCTTGGCACCCTCCGCTCGGTGGTTCTTCCCCCTCTCTTGTGCAGAACTCCACCTCTGTGGCATGACCTCTGTCCCTGGGGGGGGGGAGATTTTGCAGAGTGGCCTTTCCTTTGTGGGGGGGCAAGGGGGGAGACCAGCCCGGGCTCCCATCCCTCCCTGCCCCCACCCCAGCCATGCACACCCCTCCCACTGCCACGGCCCAGTTCCTTCGTGTCTGTTCTCCCCCACCCCAGAGCTGGCCTCACACCGGCCTGCCAGCTGCTGCTCTGGCAGCAAGCCCCTCTCCTCCAAAGTAGACCCTCTCTCTTGGCCTTGGAGGACCCCATGCGCCCCCCCCACAGCAGCAGCAGCAACAGTGGGAGTGGGAGGTGAAGGCCCAGCAGGCCCCCCTGCCGGTGGGGGCAGTTTAGGGGTCTGCCGGAACATTGGAGGAGGTGCTGGGTGTGTGTGTGTGTGTATTTTTTTTTTGGGGGGGGGGAAATACAGGAAGTGGTTCATGTTTCTTTGCCTCACCAGGGGATGAGTTTGACGTCTGTGCCATTTGCCTGGAGGAGTACGAAGACGGGGACTGCCTGCGGATCCTGCCCTGTTCTCATGGTGAGGAGGGAGGGGTGGCCGTGCACGCGCGCCAGGTGCAATGCCTGCCTGCCTGCCTGCCCTCCTACTTTGCAGCCTGGTTCTGTTCCTTGGGGGGCTCCTGGTCTCAGGAGGAGGGTCTTGGGTCCATAGAAGTGGGCACTGGGGGGGGCAAGCCGAGGACAAGGAGACCACGCCTGTTTATGAGCCATGTTGATCCCCACTCTGAGAGGAGGGGAGGTGCTGGGGGGGCCTAGCCGCTAGTCTTCCCCCGCTGGCCCCCGTTGACACTCTGTGGAAGGGGCTTCCCAGCTTTCCCGTGGCTTCCCCCCCCATCTTCTCCGAGGCTTGTTGACTCACAGGCAAGGGAGAGCCTGGTGCCACGTCTTTCTCCAGCCTGTCCACGTGGCCCCCGGCGGCTCCTCTGAGGCGCAACGGGGTCCCCTCTCCCGAGAGGCCAGAGGTTCCCACCCTGGATCTAAGGGGTCCCTTGTTCTTTTTCTTCTTCCCCGCACCCCCTACCCCCACCCCGGCCACCGGGCAGCCTATCACTGCAAGTGCGTGGACCCCTGGCTGACGCAGACCAAGAAGACGTGCCCGGTGTGCAAGCAGCGGGTGTTCCGCTCGCCCGAGGACTCGGACTCGGAAGGCGAGGAAGGGGCGGAGGGGCGCAGCCCCACCCCACAGGGCGAGGCGGAAGGGCCGGAGCAGCGCCGTCGGAGGCCACAGACGCTGGAAGACGACGAGGAAGAGGTGGAGGAGGAGGAAGAGGAGCGCGACTCGGAGCGAACCCCCTTACTGCGATCCTCCCCGGCAGTGGCGCTGGGGGGACCCTCCTTCGGCAGCATGGCGCACTCCCCCCCTTCCAGCCCCCCCAGCCTCTTGGCTGAGGGGGACCCGGCCGAAAGCTCGCAAGGCGCGCTGCGGGTGTAGTCCCTGCCCCGTCGGCTGTCCCTCGGGCCCTGCCTGGTCCCGGTAGTGGAGAGGGGCCGGGGGGGGGTCAGGGAGGCAGAGAATGCCGGAGGGGGGCTCGGCTTTTACCACGGAGCTTCCAGAACATTTTAACTTTTCAGGGCAGGGGGAAGGGAGGGGGCAGCCCAAGGGGGGCAGGTGGTCACGGCACGGAAAGGGAGACACAACACTTGTGTGTGAGCGTTTCTCTGCCCCCCCCCCCGGAAAATGGAAGGGATATGAAAGAGGGAATGTGTGCTGGGTGACTCTTCCCCCCCACACACACACAAAAAAAAGGCAGGCAGCCTCCTTGTTACAAGATAGGCCTTCCTTGCTAGGCTGAAAAAGCAAAGGGTGGCCCCCCGAAGGGCAGCCTGGCCCAACAGCCTTTCCCCAGGGACCCCTCCCCTCCCCTGCCTCGGCCACACACACACACACACACCCCCGGAAGCTGCATCCCCTTCTCTCCTGCTGGGAGGAGTGTGTGCGGAGGGTTCCCTGCCTGTTGGACACGGAGGGGGTCCCCCTCCCCACCTGCCCAACTGGTGGGTGTAAACACTTGCAGAGGGTGGGGGGGTAGGGTCTACGTGGGAGCAAGCTAGGCCTCAGGTGGAGGTGGAAAGGGGACTTGCAATGGAGGAGGATGTTCTGGCCATGGTGGGGGCGGGGGGGGG